CTTTGCCTGCAAGAGTACATGGAGAGATATGGGAAAATATTCAGTCTTTGTTTTGGGAGAAAGGTCAATGTTGTGATAGCTGATCCAGACTTAATCAAGCAGATCATGACCAAAGACAGCCATTTGTTTACAAATCACCATCAGCACTTTCCAATTGCTAAGGAGAGAAAGGAAATGTTTTTTCTAAAAGACGAAGACTGGAAAAGAGTGCGGTCAGTTTTAAGCCCAACATTCACTACTGGAAAACTTAAGCTTATGGTCCCGGCTATTGAGAGGTCAAATGAGACTTTGATGAGTAAACTGCAGGGAATTGCTGATACAGGTAAAACACTTTGCACAGTGCCAAGATTGCTGCTGATATCTCCAAGCTTGTTGAGTCTATAGGATCTCCAATCCTTTCCTTGATTATGCCTCGGGATATTAACCAAAAACTGCCTCAGTCCTTGAAGCGAACAAAATTTAAATATTTCGGCACGTTAATGTTTGTGGCATGGAAGTGGCGCGGCAGCACGAGTCGTGCGCTGCACTGCAAAAAACAAACAAACACACACAAAAAAAAGAAATCGACGCCGATTATATAAAACGTAATAGTTCCTGCAATTGCGTGTTTTCGATCGACGTCTGTATCAACGCCGTACCGAATGTGTTTGGATCCTTGACACAAATACTCCATTTGAAGCAGTTCTAAGCACCATCTTGGAACGTAACCAAGCCTTTGCATCAAAGCGAGACAGGAGTTGAGCCGACAGTGAGAGCTTTTGATCAACCCTAAGGCAATTATTTACATCTATCTATCAATGCAAGCTCAACTGCTGTCTTGCTTTTTTTGATGCGAAGGCTTAGTTTATACATGATAGCGACGGGAACTGTAAAGTGGTGTATTGTCTATTTGGCATGCGCGTCGATAACACGACGTATGAACTTGGCCTTAAACGTAATAAAGGAACATGCATGTTGCTTACAGGAGAATCGTGCGRGAAAATACTCCATTTTCAAATTCAATGCGAAAAACCGCTCCTTTATTTGACAGCAGATTCTCCTGCACAAAGACCTTACCAAACTCAACAGRGAGCTTGAAAATAGTCTTGAAAGTTTGCATTTTCCACACGAGTTGAGATTAAAATAACCCTATATTCCCAGAAGGCCTTATGACGTTTAATTCAGTTGGGATTGAATACAGGGGTAGCCTCAACTCGGGAAAGTATAGATTGTTAGCACTATTGTACTTACAACATTTTCTCGTGCTTTCTTTTTTGTGTTATGGAAATGTGCTTTCGTTCAAGAATCTGCTGTCAAAAAAACAGCGGTATAMAAATACTGACCAATATCATTATAAATTGATTTGGAGTATCACGACTCCCTTTGTCCTTTGGGTATATCCTTATAACTCATCCCTGTTGGATTCAGTTTTAGGAAGATGAGCAGAGAGATTCGGTTACTCAATTTATGTGACCTATTGTGTTTCAGGAAAAAGCATCGATATTTACTCTTGGTTCAGTCTTATGACGCTAGAGGTGATTCTYTCCACCTCTTTCGGAATTGAGTCTCCAGTCCAGACCGAGGGTACTTCCAATAACTTCCTGATTAAGTCGAARGAGGTTCTCAAACAGCCTGCCGTGATGATTTACAGGTTTATGGTCCCTTTGACTAAGCTTTGGGATCGAATCTACTTAAMATTTGAGAGYCATTTYAAGTTTTTCGCCGAGGTGGCTCGAAATATCTTGAAGATCAGGAAAGAAGAAGGAATCCGCGGAACTAAAGATATATTGGACATCATGCTTTCAGCCAAAAACCCTAATGGAAYTCTTAAACTGACTGAAGATGAAATGGTTGGACAATCGTTATCATTCCTGCTCGGTGGTCATGAAACATCAAGCAATGCTTTGACCATGTCTGCCTACTTTTTGGCTCTAAATCAAGATATCCAAGATCGTTTGAGGTCSGAAATCCTTACAGCACGAAAAGCAAACCCTGATAAGCCACTTTACGAACTAGTCAATGATCTGGAGTACTTGGAATGTGTCTTCTGTGAAGTGCTGCGCATGAGCCCACCAGCTTATGTAACGGATAGATCTTGCAATAAAGATTACAAACTCAACGAGACATCAACAATTCCAGCAGGTATGGCTGTATTTATTGCTATACACGCTCTGCACCATGATCCATCGGTGTGGCCCGATCCAGAGAAGTTTGATCCTGAGCGTTTTCGAGGTTCTGCCAAACTATCGAGACATCCCTTCCAATTCCTTCCTTTTGGAGAAGGGCCGCGAGTCTGCATTGGCAAGAGATTTGCTATCTTGGAAATCAAGATCACTTTGGTAGATGTTCTGACGAAGTACAAGTTCGTGCGCTGTCCTGAAACAGAAGTGCCGCTTAAGATGGTNGGTCTGAATCTCATCCCAGAAAATGGCGTCTTTGTTAGAGTCGAATCGTGTAATTGAAATTCAGCTGTGTACAGCTATTCCTGTAAACGTTGAATAGTGAATACTGCACAGTTCATTCCAAGAGTGAAATGCATTGTTGCTCATTCGACTTCATGTTAGCTGCATTACAAAATAATAATTCTAAACTTAAATGCTTGCCATTAAAGTTCTTGACTGTGGAGAGAGAGCTGATGTATTCATTCTGACACCTCGAAACGTTTCAAACGTCTGCTGGCAGCGGAGGTAGAGCGAGCAACAACGCATTTCGGTCTTATCTTTAGTATTAAACGTTGTCTGAAATAGCTTCATTTTTAACGGCGACCATGGTCAATATTTTATGTTTTAAAACAAAAATCGTGCACACCCTATTTCATCCCTTTTCATGAATGGAGTTATTGTAACATTCCATCTTAACACCTTGCGATGGTAACGGATTGCAAATAGATATTTGAAAAGGCCGAMTTTCACGTTAGCTGCATTACAAAATGATTATTCTAAACTCAGCCTTAAAAGTTCTTGACTGTGTGCAGAGCTGATTTATTTACTCTGACACCATGAAAACGGCGAAAGAGCGAGCAACAATTGTAATGCATTTCATTCTTGGAATACATTATCTTTAATATTAAACGTTTTCTGAAATAGCTTTATTTTAAAAGGCGCCCATGTGGTCAATATGTTATGTTTGAAAAGCAAAAATCGTTAATGTGATCAAAGACGTACTGTATATCATCCCTTTATTTTCTATAAAGACATATTGTAAGATTCCATCTTAAAACCGCTGATGGAAAAGGGTCGTGGATGGATATTTAAAGTTACCGCTCTTTTCGATAAAAAAACTTAAATACAATCGACCATATCATTTAGTTGATATATATGTTACAATAAATCTAATAAATATGACATATATGTTATAATAAAGGACATCAATGTTGATCGATTTGATTCAGTTTTGTCGTTTTACTCACATAAAAATAAGAAAAAGGTCGAGCCTTCAAGATCAAATAGGAGCTACTCTTCATGAGATTTGAAGGATAACAGAAATCTCTGGAGCCGTTTTGAAGAAAACCGTACAATTTTAGCTACTATTCATCTCCAGTAAAAATACTGTAATTCTTTCAATTTTAAAGTATAGAACTGAACTTTTCACACACTAATTTTGACAAATGGATGTACAACATATCGCAAGATCATGGCAATCAGCTCTTTATTTATACATGGCTGTTTATTCTATCTGTAAAATTTGGCGGAGTTACTCCACGTAGAGCGCTGGATGCTAGGCAGACCTGAAGTATTCTGTTTATTCTATGTAGGTCATATTTTGGGCTCATTTTTGAGCCTCGTTCATATCTTTATTTCTGCCCAAGCTTTTCCAACGAAATTAATAGCCTTTATGAAGTTTAATGAAATAAACCAATTCCGACAATTTCAAGATGATCCGACTGTTAGTTTTAGAGTAAATCGTCGAAAACTGGAATTATGACTGTTTGAAAATGCGCTGGATCTTTAAAACCAGCCAATAAATTACTAAATACTGACAATTGACAAAAACTGTAATAATCACTGCATGTTATATCAAAATTTCAGCACGTTTGACTAAATATATTTGCATAGAGAGCGAGTTAAAAAAGTACAAAATTTGCGTTTCGAAACAAGGATAAGCTGATCATTAGAATAAACTAAATCATTAAATATTCCGCATGCATGCATGCATAGATGACGACAACTGATTAATACTCCGATTTAGAGTTCTGGTTTGCTCTGTGTTAGCCTCAAAACCAAGTAACATATTCTTTTGTTTCACTATTGATATAGCCCGAGAAAACGCGTGGAAATTGAAAAGAGAGACAATAAAATTGATTTGAAATCTCAAACTTTTATTCTCACAATTAGGAATATTTAATTTTGCAACTACAAATGTATTCAAATGACTCCATGCAGGGAAAAAGATCTTTTTCAGTTGATTGAGTTTGATCAAAACAACAGCCTATACAACGAAGAGAGAACCTACTTTGGACAACTTAAAGGGTACAGTATACATGACATGTCAGCAGTGCATAGTGCATTTTAGGATCATGAAACTATCAAACTTCTCATACATGGCTCTTAACATCTTGTCAAATCTCTGAAGACAGTGACTAGTATACTAGTCACTGAATAAGGGCAAAAAATCCAAAATTTATTTCCTTCAATTAACTATATTTCTTGAACGAAATTTTACACACTTGTTGTTAGAGTGGTTTTCCATCAATCATGAAAGCACAATAAGTCTAATAGTTAAGTAGTAGTTTGTAATAGACCAATACTAATAGTCTAGTCTAGAGTAGACCTGTATCCGATTGATAGGTATCAACATATTCATCACAAAAACAAGTTTTTTTTATTTTAATGGTCGTTTTTGTTATGGTAACTAATTAAACTAAACGTTTAATTTATTCAAACTGTTGTTTGTTAGCTATTCGTTTATAGTTTATATGTCTAAAAGTTATATTGACTAGTCTAGTACTTATTGCTACTAACTAGTTGGTCTATTTCTTTTCATGGTTGACGGAAAACCACTCTATTATTGTGATACACGCGAAGTGTCATCAGCCTCAAAAATGTGCTCAAATTACTTAAAATKCTTTACAGCAACTAATCGTGAACAATAGTTTTGTATAGTATTTCAACTATTAATTCGAGGTTTCAACAAAGAAAACCTCAGAGAATCACAAAAGAATTTATACGCATTTGTACCAAATCAGCCAAATATTCGGTACATATKTATAGCAATTTAATGCAATTTTCAGAGTGTT